CTAAATATATAAAGGAGTCTGGTGCAGAAGAACCACTTTGACCTTTATAAAAACTGTTATTTATATAGTAGCCTCTTTTACTTTCTCCAATAAGTTTTCCATTTTTGTTGGTGTGAAATTCGGTACAAGTGATCGTCAAGGAGAGTTTGTTTTTATTTGAAAAGTATACAACTAATTACTATACAACTTTAGTTATTGTTTAATTTAAATAGTCTGATTAAAGATTTTATACTAACTGTCATATCTAGAACCTATTTGTAAGTTCTTTATTTAAACATTTTGATTTTTGTATTTATTTACTTATTTATCTTACTAATTGTCTTAATTTTTATCAGTATAAATATATTATAATTATTAGGTTTTTAAAACAATTTATTTATATAAAAACTTTTAATCTTGTATTAAACTCACCAAAACCTTTTGTTATTTAATTTTTAGCTAATCTGGTATTACTATAATTAAAACTAATACTTGTAGTTAGAATAACTCTTAAACTGCTATATTTTTATAATGTTTATTTAATTCCAATATCTCTTTTACAACCTTATCAGTATTTTGTATATTTTTGCAAGTTTTTCTATACTACCAATTTAGTTAACTTTGTATAGCATAACTTTATACCCAGTTCAATTAGTAGTTAGATTAGTGGATCTCTTTATCTAAGATTTTGTTTATATAGATAATTTGCTTTAGATTTCTGTTTTTAGATCAAGATTTTTGCAAATAATACTGTCAAAGATTATACTGCCTTTTTACTTAGAATTTCTAAACAAAACTTCTTATAAAGTATATAATTTTTAAATTTATTTATATAACATTGCACACTTTCAAAGTTAGTCTTAATACAATTAGAATTACAGAGTTACAACTCCAAATATCTCAATTAAGTTACCAAAATAAGATTATTTTTTAAATTTCTATCACCAATAGGATTTGAACTCTGAACCTATTACTTGAAGAATGACAACTTATCATTACATTAGGATTGCTATTATCAAATATTTGTTTAACTTTAATATCAATTATTAATATTTGTAGATATCTTTTGTTTCAATTTCTTTAATAACAATAATTTATAATATTTTGCTAGTATTATCTATTTCTAAAAATTTTTGATCATATCTAATATTTTTGTCTTTTTCAGCATCAATTTTATATTATATGTTCTACAGTTTTTTAAATTAAATATTCTTTTTAACTTTCATTCCATAGTAATATAACTTGCTGCATTTTACAAATATAACCATTCTTTCTATTATTATAACAACTTTTTGAATCTATTATATTTCAAATATTCTTTGGTAGATTTATGAAGTTCTAATAATATTTGAATAACTTATTTTTATTCTTTTTACCATAAATTCATACTGATAATGGTAAAAGATAAAAAAACAAAAATCTTATAAAATATTAAGAAATGTGTTAAAAAATAAAATATTAAGAGATGTATTAGAAAATGAAGATATTATTAAAAGATAAAAAAACAAAAATTTTATAAAATATTAAGAGATGTGTTAGAAAATGATATATTAAGAAACGTATTAGAAAATAAAAAGTTTGATGTGAGTATCCAGTATAGGGATTGGACCTGAGTAGAAATTATTGCTATATGATTACCCAGAATACATAATATTTTACCTAGGTAGAGATTTTCTCTATGGGTCCAATCTCTAATTCAGGCATTCATATTAATGTTCATTTATGTTATTCTTTAACATATATAATTCAGTAAAATAAAATACTTAATTTTAGAGTAATATCTTACCAGTTAGCATGCAGAGTTAATTACCGGAAAAGGTCATGAATCTTAAAGGATTTTAAAAATTATTGATTTTAATTATGCAAAGAAGACCCGTATTCGTTAATAAAAAAAACAACTTTTTACTCTGATTTTCGTGTAAATATAAAGCCGCTGTCACAAATAACAGTAGTAATAAATCAATTTTGCGACATTGTCTAAATTATTTTTTTAAAAAAAATAATTTCGACAAAAACTTCGACATTGCTAGTTTTTTTAATATGAATTTCACAAAGAAACCATACTACCTAATGTATTTTGATATAAAGAATTCAAATAATTTCGCTAAAAAATTTCTACAACTGTGAAAATTAATTTCGCCACTAATTCGACAGACTAAATACCGAAATAATTTTTTATTAAGAGGTGCAATTTAGACAAAAAAACAATTCTAATTTTTTCTTTTCGACGTATTTGTAATAACCAGGCAATATAAAAAAAAGGTCAGATACGTAATAATATATACGTACGTATATAGCAAACTAAAGCCAAACTTCATTCTAATTGTAACAACCTATATACTCAATATAGCCGATAAAAATGAGTAACCTAGACTTCAACCTAAATATTATTTACTAACCGTCACTTTTTTTTAAAAAAAAAAAAAATTTGCAACGAGAAGTCAACTACGAATATTTTTAACATACAAAACTTTTTAACTTTATTGTTTTTATTCTTTTGTTTAAAACCATTTAAGGCCAATTAAAAGTGAAAAAAAACTTTACAATTGTGAAAATAAATCAATTTAATTTTTTACACATATTTGTATGGATGATTATTATAATCATTATAATCATCGTTGTACATATTCCAATTGTTAGTTTGTCCGTTTTTTGTTGTTATAGTAGGTATTGGTGCTGATTGTGATGAATATGGTAGAGGAATTCGGTTAACTTGATCATTATATTTTCTAGTAGACAATGAACGACCAGGATCTGCATGTTGTGGTCTACGAGACTTATTTGCGTAAACGTCATTTGCATAGGCTCTTTGTGAATAATTATTATTGTTGTTTGTTTGAAGTGTTATGGTCACAGGATCTCTATTTACAGATACGTTATTAACGGTAGTCGGGTAGCGTGATAGGTCACTACCTGGCATACGATTTGAGGGAATCCGAGTGGGATTTGTTGGATGACGACGTATACCCGTATACGGTACGGGCATAGATGTATCACTGGTCGGGTATATGTATCCTTGATTATATCGTGGCAGAACAAAGTTGTTTATAGTGTTGGGATTACGACTAAGATCAATATAACCATCATCGTTACTAGCATTGCTGTTAGTACTGTTATTACTGTTGTTGCGATGTAATGAGGTAGAAGGTGATAAATGGTCATTTGATGATGAGGTTGCTTCGTTCTTTTCTTTAAAATTAGCTTTTGAAATAAGACTATTTGCCTCTTCTTCTATTGATATATCCTTACATAAACGTATACCAAACACTAATACCAAAATTCCAAAAAATGCCTAAACATGCATTATAAATATGATCACGTTAGTTCAACATAACATAATGTTACAAACACAGGTCGAAATTAAAAATATCATCAACTATCAATATTGGACTGCTGATATTATACTAACATTATACTGATACTGTAGTTGGTGATATTTTTAATTTCGACTTGTAAAACTAGAAAAAGGGTTTTTTTATTACTCACCAATAATGATCCTTGAACAATAGCAAATATTAAAGTTGCATTCTGAGCAGAGGAAACTTTATCAGAGCAACTAGGTAATGTAAGATCATTTTGAAAAAAACGATCGCTTTGACATTTTCGAATTGTATCATTTCGAAAATTCTGAGCAAGGAATATGTTAGCAACACTAATTCCAATGAGAATCGCAGAAGCAAGCCAATATTGAATTATAAAACTCCTCAACAAGGATTTTTTACGCTAAAATAAAAAAGTATATTCATTTTTTTTAGATCAATCAATTAATTAATTAGTTAATTAATTATAATGCCAACTCTCAAAAAAAACCTACATTATAACCTCCAATAATTCCTGATATCCCAAAAGGCGTAAGTACTCCATATATAGCACCAAATCCGACAAGAAAGAAATTAACAAGATGTAAAACGGCAACTATAAAATACATAAATTATTAAATTTTTAATCATGTTTCTTAAAACATTTACAATTCAATACACTTACAATTTAGCCCAAGGAACGTCAGAATTACTACAGAGACACAATAAAGCTGTTCACGAAAATATATATTTATTAGTTTATGAAAGAACAGAAATAACAAGATAGAAGGAAGTAATAAAACTTAATAAAACTAACAGAAAATAAGGCACCAATTACAATGAGTATAACACGTGCAGCCATTGTAGTCAAAAGTTATATATAATTCATGAAAGATTGTCGTGAAAAACGAGGGTAATAGGTTCGTAAGGACAGAATTGCACAGCAATTTAGGTGATTCACGAATTTGGACCTGCCAAAAACGTCAAATAACAATAAGCTGAAAAGACTGGGAGCTTTTCCCAGCGGTTATTAGACGAGCTAATAAAACCGTTAACTCTTGACTATCTTACAATAAGGGGGGCTAAAACCAACAAATAATCTAAATTAGAATTGAAGAAGTTCGTTTTGATTGGTTGTTATAATACCCCGGAAAAAATGTCGATCATACCCTAAATTTTACGAAGTATATATATTCCTTGTATTATTTATATTTCAAAACGAACTTTCTTCAATGCTATCTAAATTAAGTTGTTTATTAAACATTTTCAGAATTTTATATGTTGTATAACAAAACATTTGAAACAATTAAACAATTTTGTGGAATAACCGAGTAATGTTACACGTGATGTGACGCGTCTCTTGGCATCAAATTCTATAAATATTAGTATTTTCGGATTAGCATTGTTTTAAAGGCTATAATGATTAAATATTCTACAGAAAGTCCCCAGAAACATTATCATGATGGTTTAGCCGCTTTTAGAAAAAAAGAATTCGAAAAAGCACAAACCTATTTTACGAAGGTTGGTTAATAATATATGTGATAGTATCATATTTAATATAAGTTTAATATAAGTTTAATATAGATTTTTTTTCAATAATATTTTAAAAATTATAAAGGCAATCGTATTAGACCCAAATAATATTCAACTTTATGATTCTCGTGCAGCGGCGCGTGAAAAACTTGGACAGCTTACTTCTGCCCTACAGGATGCTGAAATCATGGTGAATTTAGACAAGACTTCAGCCAAGGTTAAAAAAACTTTTTATATATTGTGAATTAATAATTTTTTGATAGTTTTGTATTTTGGATCTAATTTTTTGATTTTTAGGGTTACCTTCGTGCGGGTAAAGTGTACCGATTACTAGGGCAAAATGCAAAAGCACTAGATATTTACAATAATGGGATTAAGGAAGTAAAACCAAACGATCAATTGTTACAGGTATTTATTCAAACTTTATTATTCATACATATATTTTAGTCATAAAATTATATAATTAATGTTAATCTATTTAATAATTTCAGATATTGCATAGATTTGCTAATGAGATTAATGAGATGCAAGAAAAATCACAGGTTTGTTAATGTTGATCTATCTATATAATATATGTGATATATATACATAATACATACATGATATATATATATAATATATACGTTATATATATATTATACATAAATTAACCATCTAACGCTTTCTTATGAAAATAAGGAGTCGACTGTTAATAAATCCACCAAAACCTGCGACATAGTAGTAATGTTTCCAACTGAACTTACTCATGGGATTTTCGAAAGTTTACCGCTTGCTAGTCTTTGTAAAGCATCGATCGTTTCCAAACGTTGGCGACATTTTATTATAAACTCACAATCTTTATGGAAGAATCTAGATTTCACACTTAACCGACCATCCGGTGCAATTACTGATCAAGTTGTTAGTACATATGTGAATCGTGGAAAATTACGAATTCAGACATTTATATGTCATAATGCTGAAAGACTTAGTGAAAGAACTTTAAAGGCTCTTAGAGCGGTTCCATGTCATAATTTAAAAACATTTGAATTAACTAATTCATCAATCAATGAAACTGCAATAGTTATATTCATTCGTACGATTGGTTCACAACTAAAAACAATTAATCTTTCAAACACTCAGACTTCCGATAGGGCAGTTAAAACAATGCTAATGCATTGTCCTCAACTTGAAACATTAAATTTATCATTATGCAAGATAACAACTCAAGCATTCGATCTAGGAGATAAGCAATGTAAAGCATTAAAAGTTAGAGAACTTGATTTGAATGGGTGTCGAAGCATTGACAAAGCAGTGGTTTCCTTTATTATCATTCTATTTCCAAATATCACGCACTTAAATATTCATGGGATTTCTGGAATAACAACGCATACCCTGGTCAACCTAGCCCATCTTCCGAATTTGGAATGTATTAGTATGTTTGGAAATATGTATGAGGATGGATTGAGTATAGAAGATGCATTCTTAACATTCGCAAAGTCTTGTCCACTACTTCGACAATTTGTTTTGGAAGAGTGTCCAGATTTGACAGACAACTGCGTCCGACATTTAGTGGTATCTTGTGTTAATCTGGAAGAACTTACCTTGAACGGAAGTTACAATTTGACAGATGAAGCGACACAATATATTGGAAATTATTGTAATCGATTGAAAATTCTTAGAATAGGAAAATCACCAGGTATTACTGATTCAGGAATTAGTGTGATGTTGGATTTAGGATGTGGATCTTTATTGGAAATTATTGAGTTGAAACAAAATAATATAACCGACAATTCGTTGAGAAAATTGGCAGATTGTTGTGATAAACTCAAGGTGATTAACGTCAATTTTTGTCCCAATATAACTGGAAGTGGTGTGGCATACTTGGTTAAAAAATGTGGAAAATTGATGCAGCATTTGTCCATGGTGGATTGCCCTAACGTTGCTCTTGATGCAGCCGATCTTGCTAGGAGGGTGCTTGGACAGCATGGTGGCACTGTCAATTACTTGTTTCGTGCTTTACGTTAATCTTTGTTGTAGTATCGGTATTGTATATATATATATAGTTTAAGAATGGATTTTTTAAGTATAATCTGTAATATTCATGCATCCGATCACGTTTTGTGAGTAACAAAAGTTGATCTTGTACTCCCATACTAGGTAATTTTCCGACAGTGTGGGATGCTATCATGAGTTGCGTTATTGCATATTTAAAATTTATATATAAATGTATCGATATCAAAATGTACTACGTACTTTTTTTTTTAAACGATTTTATAATTATAATTCAAAAATAATTCATAATTTTAAAAGCGTTCAACAAAGAATGATGATGTCTGAAAACGAATATCCGTTAAAAACAACATTTGATATTTCAGGAACCTTAACAGAAACATTATGGTTCCCAGTTGACAAACAAACCAAAAAGTCATCTGAAAATAATTTGATCTTTTTTATGATACCTGGTAATCCTGGAGTTATCGATTACTATACAGATTTTTTAACGACGATTTATGAAGAACATGATAAACTAATTAATGTCATTGGAGGTATTGTAAAACATAACCAGTATTAACAGTGTTGACCATCTTAAGTTATATTCGATTAAGGTGGTCGTAATGTAATAGTAAATAGCCAACACTGAATATAGCAGATAAATACATTTTATTATAGCTTGAAACTAATTTAAAAAAATTCTGATAGTGTCACATTTGGGACATTCACATGATCCACATAATCAAACGGCAGAAACACTTTATTCATTACAAGATCAAATTGAACATAAAATCATGTGTTTCGATAAGCTAAGAGAGAAATTTGAAAAAGATGAAGACATGAAACCGAAATTTATCTTGGCAGGCCATTCCGTTGGTGGGCATATTTGTAAAGAGGTGTGGTGTTTTTATTTAATTCGTGATATTCGTTTGCGAAATTTAGAATAACAAAAAAAAAACATAAGGAAAAAGGGATTAAATTATAACTGTTCATTTAGTAAAAAATTCTCTACCAAGTAAAATACTTTTAACAAAAAGTTGTGGAACCAGTATTCCTAATTATATAATAGTAGAATCATCGAATTATCCTATAGATCACGAAATGAAATGTTTGAAGTTTTCGTAGATCTACATGGAAAAATCGATGGTCGTGGAGACTTAAAATGTTAATATTTTGTGACCTATTAAGTTAGAAATACCAGAAAAAATTTACTTGATAGAAATAATTTTTACTTGAAAACAGTTATAATCCAATTTTCCCAAAATTTGATTATTTCATTTATAAAATTAACAATTATTTATGATATGTAGATATTGAAAGCGCGTCCAAATCATGGAATTGAAAGGGTATACGCTTTATTTCCAACTTTACAACATATTCTAAAAACTCCTAATGGTGCTATGTTGAGCGTAAGTTCCTATAATTTTTCCATTATTTAAAAAAGTTCTATTAAGGTTTTTGGATGAGAATTAATTATGCATCTCACATTCTCAATAAATAGCCTATCTTATTTGGAGAAATTCAAAGAAACATTTCGGCATCATTCATTCAATTAATTCGCACGAGTTTATTTCCTTCATTGTTTAAATCCTTGATAAAATTATGTACTGCCCAATCTGATCCTTATCTTAGTATTACTACTGATAAATTACTTCACGGTCATATAGTTAAAAATGCACTTTATATGGCAAGTTCGGAAATGGAATCTATTACTGAATTGGAGGAAGAATTTTATAGAAACAATTTAAATAAATTTGTATTTTATTTTTCTGTTGGTGATCGTTGGGCACCCTTAAGTCATTATGAAGATATGGTACAAAGGTATCCGGAAGGAAAGATTTTATTATGCGATCAGGGAATGCCACATTCTTTTGTACTTGGTGAGTAATTTATCATTTCTAAATTTTAAATAAGATTTTTAAGTGCGTTGAGATTAAAGTATATATTTATTTTTTACAGGATATGGTGAAATAATGGGGAAAAAAGTTTCAAATTGGATTAAAGATATGAAAGATAATTGAATTATTTCTTTTAATAAGTAACTTAAACAATATAGCACAATTTTCTGAAAGGACATAATCCCGACAAAGTTAATAAATAATATTAGTTCAATGTTGACAGATCTAGTCGATATTATATCTTTTCGGAAAATGACATTCAGAAATCATACAGTAAACTTAAATTGAATTTAATATAGACTGTGATTACATAAATTTTATTTTTACATTACATGAAATATTAAGTTTAATGTTGTCGCTCTAAAAAATTTCTCCGAATGGTCAAATTTCAGGATTGGTGCAGAACGAAAAACGCAAAAAAATCAAAACCAATCAAAAAACATCTTTAATTCAAACTTTGCATATAAAATTATTTATGACGCACTAACCAAAAGTTTTTTCTTGCGAAATTGTTGTATCACTATAAGCTTCGAACCTTAGACTAATGTATAACTTAACCTTAACTAGTGATATGAATCGAAAATTGACAATAATTTTTGAATGATTATCGTTATCTATTTATTAAACTTTAGACAAAATTTTTTTAACCAATTGAATTAATATAAACAAATTATGTGTTTAGAAATTTACACTACTGCAAGTTTTACTTGAAAGAGATTTTGCACTTTCCTTTGATGATAATTTTATCATTAGTAATATTGACATCAAAATTTTCCTCTGTAGCTTCGATATCTTTAATATTATCGATAACAGTTTTTTTATTGTTATTTGAAATTTCATTTTGATTGATTGAGAATCCATCAATGTTGTTATTTGAAATTTCTTGATCGCTTTCGTGTGCTTCAGTGTTGTTATTTGAACTTTCATTTTCGTTGCATAGAGTTTCAGTGCTAGTTTCTTGATCGCTTTCGGGTACTTCATCGATATTATTTGAAATTTCGTTTACATTGGATAGAAATTCGATGTTGATAGTTTCTTGATTGCTTACGAGCTCATTAGTATTATTTTCGTTTGCACCGATTTTGGAGAAATTTTGAGCGTGCCACTTTTGATTGATGTTTTCAGTTATAGTTTTTTTTTCTACTTTTTTGAATTTTCTGGCTTTGCGTATGTTGAGGATTTTTTCTTCTGGTTTTTGTTTGATAGCATTCCAGATTTCTGTATGTTTTTTTAAGAAATGGGTTTTTGCTCCTTTAAGAGATTCTTTTGATCTGAGGATAAAAGGTTTATTATCTTTGGGACACAATTTGCATTTGAAAGTGCTGTCTTCTCTTCCTTCGAAATAATACAAGATATTACGTTTGTTTTCTAAAGAATTTGTCATATTGAGTGATTGAGAAGTGTTCGGAGAAAGTTGGTGATTCAAGTTAGGTTAAAGAGCTTGCTTTAATTATTTTAATTAAATGTTTTACGCTTGCTTAATCATTGAATCAATAAAAATTAATGAGATGAAAAAAAAACTTCAATTAGCAAATTCGCATTATTAACGAAAGAGTATTATGTTCCATTTAGAAATGTTTAAAAATATCCTCGTGATTAAAACCCAGTATTATTCAATTCTTGAATAATGCCTGGGTATATTTTTATTAATTTGCCATGTTTCATACAGATTGTATCCAATATATAGGTATTATCCGGAAGCTTACTATGATCGTACCAACAGAATCATTCGAGTTCTTTTGGTGATAATTGCATCATCATCAAATAATTTCGTTATTTGATAATGACGCAATTTCACCAAAAGAACTCGAATTATTCTGTTGGTTCGGTCGTTGTAAGCCACCCGATAAAACCGTTATTGGATACTATGTAACGTCAAATGCAAATAATTCTGATTGGCTGCTTTGCATCCAATAACTGTATAAATCAAATGATAAGATCCTTGATAAACTTAATTATAAATACCTTGAATAGCTTATTTGATTGACATCACTAAATTTTGCACGATAAGAAGTAATTATGTAAGGAAATAACTAACAGATTTGATATCTTACTGGAAATATTTCGATTAATAAAAATTTGTTTTTATAACGGTGTGATCGGACTGGAGATTTCATCTGTTATAACTGTATAATAATGAATATGAATCATTTTCAATCATTTATGTGATATTGCGTAATTACGGAATTAAAACAGAAAAATATAATAAAATTGCGAATCGTATAGGGGTCCACGTGGAATGAGTTCGGACCGGGTCTGATCCAAAACCAGTTCTGACATCATATGGTATTCCACATGATATAAATAGGTGTCAAATTTGACACTTTTCTTGAGCCTACTAACCTTAGACAACTGATGGAATTTCTAGGCATTGCCTTCTATTATTACTGATTTATACACAATGATTTAAAAATCCGAATTTGGATTAGCGTTAGAGAATTAAATTAGTTACGTACTAATCTTTGACTAATATATCGAGCACGTATCTTAACAAAAAATACAAACAAAAATTCAAGCAATAAATTAATAATTTTATTTAATAAATGTAATATTTATTATAACCAGAAAGTATTATGATTATGGTTTTTTTAAGTATTTGGAATATTCCATTGCTATTAAAATGATTATAATCCTTCAATTTATGCAATGGCCAAAGTTTTTATTAATACTATCGAGCCATTCATTATGTTTCCTTTAATAATTTTTTTAGTTGCATCCTAAATCCAAATAAATAATCAGTTATAATCTTTCGGAAGAGCATTAAAAATAAAATCTACAAGGTTTTCTGGTGCAATTGCATTTTCTTGATTAGATTTTTTGATTTTAATTTTTTTCATTTATTGTTAGTGGAAATTTGGTTACGGCAATTAATATAGGGTTTTAGAATGGTATGTTTATTGGATATTATTCTTTTAACGATCGCTTTTCACTTTAAAAAATCGAAGAAAAAAATTCATATACTAAATCAATTATGATGAATTAACTACCCACAACAATTCTACTGTCACGTGATGATCGACGGTAAGCCACGATTTGATGTAACATTCATTTTTCAAAAATAACTTATTTCTTAAAAAATAACATAAGAAGCCGCCTTCCGTGCCCTAATTAAAAAAATTCTTTGAACAAATTTACTAATACTTTCCTAACCTTAATGAACCTAAGAAATTTTTACAATCACGTGACAGTAGAATTTTGTGGCAATGTTGGATAAGACTTTTTTTAAATCAAGTAAAATTTTCTTAATCGGTTGATCAAACTGAAATATTTTATGTCAACCAATTCAACCAGTTAAGATTACTTCACATTTTACCTTTAGAAAATCTAATAAACAAATTTATGAACAATTATGAAATCTTATTATATTAATTTTTCAAATTAGAAAAAACAACAAATAACATATACACATACCAATCAACAAATTTCATCCTTCTATAATAGAAATAATATACTATTCATCATAATTTTATATATTCTTGTTTCTGTGATCAACCTGATCAACTCTATTTACATACTGAAATCTGTTCATTTATTGGATAGGTTTTTAAAAAAATTAGTACTTAAATCATTTTGTAAATTAAGTATTATACAACTTATAACTTTATTTTAACTATAAATAATATTATCTAGATAAGTTTTTGATCATTCTAGTAGGTTTAGATTACAGATAAATTAGATTTATTTAATTTTCTAAGTTTTAATCTTGTATATAATTTTTCTTTTTATTTATACTAATACAAATAGTAAAAACATATATATTATATATATATTATTATTTTATAAATTACTTAATAAAGATATAAGCAAGACTTCATCTTTTTTTTTTTTTTGGTATTAAGGTGAGGTCTTGCTTGTATCTTTATTAGTAGTTTAAAAGTTAGTAGCTACATGGAGTTACTATGTACAAAAAGTGATTTTCTATATAAATGTTATGGCAAAACCAACACTTGCAGTCAAGGCTAAACCATTAAACTGCTAACTATATAGTTACTCTAAGTACAAATAAAAGAAAAACTATATTCAAGAATAAAAGCTCAGACATATTTATCTGTGACCTAAACCTAC